TCACTGGTATCATATAGTCACTTCTGTATCAGTTTAAAATGGGGTTGGATTAGCAATCTGCTCACTGTATATATTTAATCCTTTAGTACTCATATTTATTTTTTCTCTCTACATAGTATAAGTTTTTAAAAATTTATAAAGTAAAATCTTATATATTTGTCATGGAAGAAATCATTATTTTGGTGGGGCCATATCACTTGGCAGATATCACAAGAATTCATGTCATGATAGAAACTATAGAACAAGAGAATTGAAATACCCTGTTGCACAATGGTTAGAGAGAAAATGTCAATCAGGTGCATGAACAAAAAGTGGTCTGCACTGAAATTCAAAATTCAAGCCATTGAAACAGCTGTGTTGGAGAAAGAAAATCTGTGATACATTTTCTTTTATACTGTTGTTCATCTAATACAAGGCCCAAGAACCACTCAAGGTAGAGGGTTACTGAATTAGATTGTTATAAGGGTGAGGATATGTCAGATAAATAATGGTTGACCTTAGACATGAAGAGGTTAAAATCATAGTGATCAGGGAAATCTTCTCCGGAGTCTGTTCAACAAATTAAAAGTTCTGGAGAAAAAGCTGAGTGGAACTTCCTCCTTACCAATGGAATACAAAAGGAATGTGCATGATTTGATGCTGTGTATTTGGCATGTCAGGTCCTAGCTTTAAAGTCTGAAATGAATAATTAGAGACATGCTGATGCAAACATGGATGAAATGGCATGCCTGAGGTTTGGTGCACATCCTTGGGTAAGCATGACTTTCTTTTCATGAGACACTTACTATTTATCCAAATTTAACATCACAAATGAGAGTTAAAAGTATTTACAGTATTTACATTAGTCGGACTATTGTCCTCATCTTTGTCGCCATATTTGTTACAACGCTCCGGCCTTCTTCAGGTGGTTGGAATTTTGAACTGAACCCTTTATTTCGATCACTGGGGTAGACTGTTCTAGTTTCACGTGCCATGTTTGATGGATGTCAGTTATCAGTTATCTCCTGTTAATTTCCTTCTGAAAGTTCTCCACTGCCTTAACCGGGACACATGGCACAGTGGATAAAGGCGTTGGTTAGATCCAGTGACAGACCCAAAGAAGGTGAGTTCAATACCTCATCTCAGAAATATAGACAGACTTTAAAAGTATTTATGAAAATGTTCTCTGGTGTTGGTACATTCATTTGGTTAGATGGCTAAGTAAACACAGTAATCTATAAGAATATTTTGAAATAGCAGGCGCTGAAAACAGATTAAGACATTGTCCATCCAAAGTCCAGCTTTAAATCCAATTGTGTATCTTTGAAAGATCATCAGTGATAGAGAAAAGAAACTGATGAGAGTGTCTGATAAAAACGGCAGGAGGAATAGGACAAAATCAGAACTGCTGCATTGCAAAACAGACTCCTGAGAGGATGCTTCCCTGATCACTATCATCTTAAAATCTTCAAGTCTAGGATCAACTGTTATCTATCCTACATATTGTCATAATATGCACCTTTTTCCTCTCTCTGTACAACCTCATTTAATAGCCTTCTCCCTTGTGTGGTCTCCCTTGTATGTTAAAATATATCTAAATATCATATGCTTTAATCATAATTTAATAATTTTGTCTGTTCAGAAAGCTTAAAATGACTACTAGGTTACTTATTTTAGTGCATTACTTACTTATTTTTACTTACAATTATTGTTACATGATAAAAAAAATAGTCAGTACATTATTTAAACAAAATAAGTGCTGTGTAATTGTTTTGTATTTTACTATATATTTTATTCCTTTTTTTCTTTACATTGAAAATTGGTAAAAGTTGCTGAGAATACCTTGGACAGTACATGTGAGCAACAAGGAAGTTTTAAGGAAAATAAATCAAAAAAGGCACTTATACTTAAAGTCAGAAAGAAACAGCTGAAAATTTTTGGATATATAATGAGGAAAGAGGATTGTAGAATTTAATACACACAAGTCATACTGAATGCAAGAGACATAAAGGGAAATAGCAAATAACCTAACTACTGAGTTTGTAGCAGAACAGGGACTAAGAAGGGTGGTGAAAAGACAAACATTGCTAACAGCTGCAAAAAATAGGAAATTGTGGAGAGCCCATGGTCGTATATGTTGAAGAGACATGGCATATAAACAAAGAAGAAAAATTGTCATCAGAAGTTATATGCAGATTTAATAGGCATTTAAATTGGGCATTTATTGCATGTAAATTTTGATTTCTTCCTAAATTGCAGAAATGCACTATAAAATTTTTATGGGTTTTATTACTGGATGACACTGAAATTTGAAATTGAAGGTTTATTAGCATAGTGAAAGACACCTTCCCAAAGCTCAGAAAAGTATTAAGAAAATGAAAAATTTCATTAAAAACAAAGAAAAGAGTATTGAACTCTTACATGATATCAGTCCTCCTATATGGCAGCGAATTGCTGGACAATCTCATCACAGATGAAGAAGAGACTTGAAGCAGCAGAAATATGGTTCTGCAGAAGGATGCTGAGAATAACATGTACCTAACATGTGAGCAACGACAAAATTTTAGAGAAAATGTAAACAAAAAATACACTTAACATTGGAAATTTTTAGGGAACATAATAAGGAAAGAGGGCTTGGAAAATTTGATACTCACAGGACATATTAAAGGTATGAGAGACATAAGAAAACAGAACATAACCAATCTAGCAAGCTTGTTAAATGTATGGCAGAACAGGGTTGAGTAGAGATAACAAAAATATATATAAGGGTGTTTCATTAAGACACATCAAAGTCAGTAGTAAATAAATCAGTGTTATTTGTGAAAGTTTATTTATTTCTCTATTGGATCATGTTATTTAAGTCATGGCAATTGTGTGTGCAAAATAATATTGACCAAATGAATGCCAAATGTGAAAGAAAAAGAAAAAAATCATTAGACTCTTAAATTTAATTCATATTAAAATTGGTTCAAGTTATTGGAACACTCTTTATATAATTTATCAAGAGCTTTAACGGCCAGGAAACTGTGGAGAGCCATGATCGTCAACATCTCGAAGGAACACTGTACATAAACAACAACTAGTAATGATCTTTTTTCTTTTTTTTTTTTTAATTTTCTTTGCACTATTTTGACTGAAGAAAATAAACAGAAAAGTTAAAGAATAACTGACTCATCAATTTCAGTGTTTGGGATGAGGAAAATGAGAAATATAAAAACACGGTATAATGACATATAAAGTCTGACTCAATTCCTATTGGTTCTGTGTCACAAGCTTACCAGTGTGGTCATCTCAAATTCGACCATGGATTTTTATCTTTGGATATCCTTGTGTATCAGCCCCACTCCCTTATCTTTCTCACTCCTGCTTGTTTTTCTTTCTCTACCCCCACCAGTCTCCTTGTTGTTGTTCTTTGATGATTGTATGTTTGTGCCATGCTCTTTCCAACTCTATTGATGAGCAGATGACTTATCCAATATTTTAATCACTTTCCTTTTAGTCATGTCCATAGTTTTTGAGATTCTCTCTCTTTCTTTGTTACTCAGGAAAGATGACGTGTCAGCATTAATATTTCTTTTTTGCTATCTTTATCCCTAATTCACCATGCAATTCTCTTTACACAATTGTCAGCTTCATCATCATCATTATCTAATTTATTATAATAGTATCACTGATGCTATATTTTGAAGTAGTCCTTAAAAGCAGTCTTTGTTCAGATCTTAAACAATTGGTGCTAAAGAATCGGAAAGAAATTTACCAAATAACAAAATCCACATGAGTTGAAAACTTCCAACAGCAGCAACAACTAAAAATGGGTGCTAAAGAAATTTATCAAATAACAAAACCCACACAACAATTAAAACAGCATATGAAGAGAAAATAATGATATAATTTAGATATTCACTTTCCATCTTCAATAAAAAGGTTAGGAAGGAAAATCTCATCAATATAAGAAAGAGTTGATAATAGTGAAGTTGAGAAGCTTTTTATTCTGAAAAACTCTTTTAAAAGATTTTATAAATTTCAGCTGATAGTAAAACCCTGTTTGCTCAATGAATTTCAAATATTCCAGTATGGTAATTGTTAACCTCGCCATTACCATCTTCTCTCAAAGAAATTATGACAAATTCCTTTTCTGTATTTAAGATTAGTCCTAGAAAAATTACAAGCAAAGAGCTTTACCAAATAACAAGAACCACATCATTTGAACACTTTCAACAGCAGCAGCAGCAAAAATGAGTAGCACAGGTAGCTTGAAGAGAAAATAATGAAATAATGAAGCTTTTAACTTTCCACATTATGAAAAACATGAGTATTAGAAAGAGATATAACAGTGAACTTGAGAAATCTAGCTTTCTGGAAACTGTATTAAGAAAAAGGTCTTACAGATTTTAATCACCAATTTCAGTTTATAGAATACTGTCTTTTGATGGCAAATACACACACACACACACACACACATATATATATATATATATACACACAGACACAACAGTTCAAAAGTTTGAGGCACCCCAGGTATTTTTTTAAATTGGTCCCAAAAGTCGTTGTTTAGTACTTTAAATAAGAGAAAATTATTATACATGGTTAAAAAATTTGAGACATGATTTTTTTTTATTAGAAATTCTATTATAATAAAAATAAATATTCCCCTTTCATCTTGATTAATGCAGTATAAATTTTTGGCATTCATTGCAATTTTTCTAATTGATTCCATTCTTTTTTCAATGACTCTAAGAGCTCTTTTTCCTTTTCTCTCACTCTTCTGTCAAGTTCATTCCATGCTCACTCTGGGGGTGGCTTCAAAGTTTTGAACTGTAGTGTGTATATGTATGTATATATATATATATATATATATATATATATATATATATATATATATATATATATATATTCATTTCTTTTTCTTTCAAAAAGATTAATAAAAAATAAAGTTTCTGATGTTTAATGTAAATTTTAATATTTAGACACTACAGACTAGCAAATACTTGGAACAAGCCTAAATCTTTGAGGGCTTATGGCAACATCACATTGAAACACCAGTTCCTTTACAATCACCGAAGTTGAGCAACATTGAGCCTGATCTGTACCTAGATGGGTGACCACTTGGGAATACCCTGTGTAATGGTTAATGGTTTGGAATTGGAAATCAGAGAGCCAAGTTCCAATTCCAGTCTGGTTTGTTATATTCACATGTGCAAATACTCTTGGGAAAGGTATGAATCTACCTCTTCTTCCCCCATCTATGGGTTAATTAGTAGGACTTGTATTAGTAAATCATTATTATCTCCAAAGACATTTTTACAATATGAAAATATTTTCTGCCTTTAAATAACCTGCAAAAGGTTGATAAACCATAAAAACAAATCAGTCAATTAAAAAACCTAAATCCATAATACTTCATTATTAAACACAAATGGGGGCAGGTTTAAGATGACATCAAATGTTATACTGAGAAGGTTTTCTTAAAATATGTTTTCCTTTTCCTATTTTGTTGTCATGACAAATTTTAACTTTCTTGTTTCATTTACCAAAAACCTTTGTAAATCAAATCTTAACATTATTCAATCCTTGATTTAAAACAGACTGTCAAATTATATGAGTGTTTGTTGAATCACAAAGTAGAAAAGTTCTATGTCGTGCATATAAAAAAACTTTTATTCCTTACTAAATCTAAAATCTTGTGCCTCCTATTTAGTAGGAAATGAAATAGAAAAGAGAACATGTGCTTCTCTCCTCCTTGAGGTCAAAATAGGCACAAATAACAAAATAAGACTCAACCACTGCATAAAATTTTAAAGAAAAAACATTACACAAGTAAAGGAAAAAAAGAAGGTAGAAATACAAAATTTGCACAAAAAATTTCCTTTTGTGCACCTATTAAGGCAGTATAAAAATTTCTGATAAAAATGATTACCATTAAAAAATGGGGGAAAAAAAACAGGTTACAGTTTGTGAAAAATTAAGGATTCAATGACAAAAAAAAAAAATGAAAAACACCTACTTTTACTTACCACACGAGCATCTCTGTCTTTTTTAAATTCACACTGTTCATGCTTGTGAAAATCTCTTTGACTTCTTTTCATTCTTTGTTATCCAACCACAAGAGATTTTTGCACTTGAACTTCAAAATTCTTTAGTCTCTCTATGCAGCTGGCTTGTAACCTTGTACTTTCTTTATGTTCTCTTCTTGATCTCTCAAATGCCTTCTGCTTCTTGATCTAAATTTTCCTTGTCCTCTTGTCAAAATGTCTTCTCTCGTCCATTGACCTGAGTTCTATTTATTCCAAAAAGTATACTCACAGAAGTCATACCTGTTCTTATTAGGGCTTGAGACCTCTCATTGGTCAGTATATACGAAAAAATAATTTTCTATAAGCTTGAAATGTATCCTTCACAATTTTGCTGGATTTAACTGCTAAGCTGAAAAAGATATAAAAGTGTAACAATTTTTTTTTCCACAAACCATCTGGCCGTCTTCAAAAAGACTTCTCTCAAAAGAGTGTGTACTTAAAAAAAAAACAAGTGACAGAACTAATTTCAAGTTGATTTAAAATCAAAGTCATCAATTTCCATGAATTCCTAAACAAAATCCAATGAGTTGATGTTAATTTTTTAATTTAGCATTAAAAATCCTTAGTAGATAAGATAACTCAGAATTCATCTTTTCTGCAATTTTTATTCTTTTTTGTTGCAAAACTGAATTGAAATTAATTCTGCACCCCTAAAAAACAACCTAGATTATTAAACATTTATTCAAGACTAACATTTTTAAAGTATTAAAAATAAAATTTTTATATGCATTTCATCCTCTAAAAGGACTTCAGACTAAAGTAATGTTCTTATTGATGGAATTATATATGTAGGGGAGGGAAGATATAAACATAATGATTAATTATAATTTTTTCTTTGAGGGAAAACAGTAAAGATGTAGGAATCCTAATTTTTTAAATTTCTATTGTCTTACATGTCAAGATGTGCAGTTAGATCGATCTTATTTGATTTCTCAACACTTTTGTATTTTTGCTGTTGTTTCTCCTACATTGGGACAACAGATTTGTTAAGAAAGGTAAAAGTTTGAAACCAGGTGCAAATTTACTGTGGGTCACTCATAAATCTGTGCACTGTAAGAATTCCTGGTTAAAAGGTGATTTACCATGATAAAAAGAATAGAGTTTCAGTCCCTGCTGATAGATACATTTTCTTTTAAGACTGATGATTTTACTGTAATAAGATAAGGTTTAAAAATTTGTCACTATATTAGCCCAAGACAAATGTTTTTCCTTTCTGAAAGGACTTAATCTTTGGTATGAAGGCCCTTCGTATCCAAGGTTTTGCATCTATGTATTTAACCAACAACAAAAATATAAATAAATTCAAGGCAGATTCCTAAAAGCAAACTGGTTTTACTATGCATAGAGCATGGTGCTAAATACATGCAAATGAAGTAATGCATTGGTTACCTACCATTTCATTGACGACTTTTTTTCCAGCACCAACTTCATTTTTGTTCACTTCAATTGTTTTTTAGTTTCATTTTTTTTCATTGAAATTTGAAATTATTTTTTTTTAATGAAGCTTATCCATAATTAAATAAATACCTAAAATTTTTATTATAAATCCCAAAATTAGTTGATTAAGTGTAAACAATTTAGCCTCATGAAAGAATAAATAAATGTGTACTTTAAGAATATTCTTTAAAAAAAAAAAGGAAAAGGAATTGTTTCAAGAATGGCAGTCTTGTAAGCAATTTTCTAAAGAGGGAATTTTTTACTGATCTTATATAGCAAAAATTTCCAATGGTTGACTTTACCAGAAATGTGTTGGGTACTTTAAACAGAATATGGTCCGTTTTTTGTGGTGGTGTGTAAGTGTGTGATTTGGGGAGGTGGGTGTACCAAATGTGAAGTTTAGTGGAGTAGTGATAAATTTCTTTTAATAAAAGTGGGTTGTGATTCAAAAAGTTTGAGAAAACCTTATGTAAATAAAAGGTATGTCAGTTATGTGAACACTGGCATCAACATATTTTTTGTTCATTTTTTGCTATTTAGTTTTTAATGGGGAACTTAACTTTCCTCTTCCTTGGTATAGCTTGCAATTACCTTAGTGTACCTGATGCTATGATAGGTACCAGAATTAACAATATTCGTCACCATTTTGGTTGTTTCTGGAGGGAAGATTTCCTTTGTTTTTACTGAATACGCCTGAGAATGGTTGAAGAATGGATTGGCTGAAATGTGCTATCAACAATTATAAAAAGAGGAGATTCAAGCATCCAAATAATTTTGAATGTGTTTTACATAACTCTGATTATGAAGTTTAAAATTTATATCAAAATGGTTAAGCCTTAGATATTTCAAAAGTGTTTGGCAAGATTTGACATGCTGGTCTTTTGAAGGGTTATGGCATTTCTGGCCAAGTTTTGATTTGATTCAATCTTTCTTATCAAGTTTCTTCAATGTCCACTCTTCTAGATCTTCTTGCATTAATACAGGTGTTCCCCAGGGCTCTATCCCTAGATTTATTTTATTCTTAATATTCCCCAACAACCTCTCAAGTCAGTATCTATGCTGATGATACAAGTATTTACTCCTGTCTTAATTCTAAGTTTGATAGGTTCAGATTGGCAACTGATCTTGAAAATGACCTTCCCTTGTTAACTGGGGCAAGAAATGGCTTGTTAACTTTAATGCCTCCAAAATTAAACTGCTCACTTTTAATTGTATTAGAGAACCATTTTTGACTTCAATCAACTGAACTCCAGGACAGTAATTCATTGTCTCTTCTCAGTCTAATGTTTACCCCTGACATAGAGTACAACGATAATACTGAATCAAATTGCTGGGTCAGCTGCTCAGAAATTGATTCACTGTGTTTTGTGTTAGACAATTTTTCTCACCAGAATCAGTGTTGCACCTTTATAAATCAACCATTCATCCATAGATGAAATATTGCTGCTACTTCTGGTTTGGTGTTTCTGCTATGTATAGAGAGATTCTTGATAAAATCAAGAGAAAAACCTGCAATACTATTGGTCCTGATCTGGCATCTCATCTTCAGTCATTTTCTCACCACAATAATGTAGATTCCCTGTACTTTTTCTATTACTATTTTCATGGTAATTATTCTGATCAGCTTTCCTCTTTGGTGTTATGACTTCACAAATTTAAGAGCAGTACTAGATTGGTAGCTAGGTCTCACCATTTTAATGTTGATATTGCCAGATGTAAGCATAAGCTCTATGCTAGAACTTTCATTCCATGACCTATCATCCATTTACACAAGCTCATTAGTTTGGTTACCCGCTGTTTCCCTTTTGCCTTCAGTATGTCCTGTGAGTGTCAAGTTTTCAAAGCCTTCTTTCTTCATTATATATTTCAATGGTCTCTTTCTGATCCTTAGTCGTGGTGTCTTTTTATTTCCATTTTTCTTAAAACTTCCTCATTGCTTACATACTCTGTCCATGATATTCTCAGCATTCTTCTGTAGAACCACATCTCTGATGGCTCAAGTTTCCTCCTCATTTGTGAGGGAATTGTCCAGCATTCACTGCCATTGAGGAGGGATGTAGTTCATAGTATTTCAGCAAATCCTTTTTTTTTTTTTTTGTTAATATTTTCAGTTTTTGGAATTCATCTTTTGCTATTCTAATGTGCTTTTTGATTTCAGTGTCATGTTTTTTTTTTTGTTTTTTTTTTTTTGTCATTTGTTAAAAAACTTTGCAGGTATTTAAAATTCTGTGTTTGTGTGATTTCTAATTCGTACCTTGCATCCTGAGCTTTTTCTGTCTTCTTACAGCTGATGGTTAGTCTCTTCTTACTCTTCTTGACCAACTTGTCTAGGATATCCTGTAGTTTTTCTTTTGTATTTTTCTTCAACACTGTCATCTATAGGTTTTATATTAAATTTATGCCTGTCAGTAATAAATCCTATTAGGACTTCTAGTTCTCTTAAGATAACTTTGCTGTAAAGATTTAATAAATCTGGTTAGAAGATGCAGTCTTGCCTTATGACTATATTTTTATGTACTTACTCAGTTGAAGGACACATGGCACAGTGGATAAAGGTGTTAGATCCAGTGACAGGACCCAAAGAGTGTGAGTTCAATACCCGGTTAAGGCA